CAATCCGTTGTACCCCATGCCACACACCCGTCCATTACCAGAAGCAACATCAAGAAATGATTGACGACCTATTATTCGAAAAATCATCCAGCCATTCGACTTCCCTTGGGCTTCCCCAATAGTGCTCATCAAAAAGAAAGATGGCGACCGTCTCTGTGTTGACTACCGCCACTTGAACGCCGTTACACAGAAGGACTCTTTCCCGCTGCCAAGAATAAATGAGACACTTGATGCCCTCGGGGGAGCTAAGTACTTCAGCACATTGGACCTCGCATCCGGATACTGGCAAGTTGAGATGCACCCGGACGATCGCAGGAAAACCGCGTTCACTATTCCATCCGGGTTGTATGAATTCCAAGCTATGCCGTTCGGACTGGCAAATGCACCTGCTACATTCCAGCGGCTGATGAACGTCACACTTCGTGGTCTGGTCCCTGAAAAATGCCTCGTGTGTCTGGACGACGTCATCGTCCACAGTCGTACCCTAGAGGAGCATCAGGTGAACCTAGCCGAAGTGCTTGGCCGATTCAGGGAGTTTGGACTGAAACTTAAAACCTCCAACTGCCGGGTCCTGCAGCGGGAAGTTGGGTTTTTAGATTATGTCATTTCCAAAGACGGCGTTCGATGCAACCTCATGAAGACGGAGCAAGTCAAATCCTGGCCCACGCCTACCTCGGCGGATGAAGTAAGGAGTTTTCTCGGTCTGGCTTCTTACTATCGACGCTTCGTAGCGAACTTCGACCAGGTAGCAGCACCACTAACTGCCCTTCTCCAGAAACATGCTGAATTCATTTGGACACCTAAAGAGAACGAGGCTTTCGAAGAACTGAATCGAAGACTGCGCACCGCTCCAATCCTGGCGAACCCGGACTGCTCCTCTCAAGTGGGAACGTTCGTGCTAGAAACCGACGCCAGTGATACCGCTATCGGGGCCGTCCTCTCCCAAAGGCAACCACACACCGCGGAACGGGTGATTGCTTACGCAAGTCGCATCCTTTTACCTCGTGAACGGAACTATTGCACGACTCGAAGGGAAATGCTGACTGTTGTTCATTTCCTGAAGCAGTTTCGGCCGTACCTGTTGGGAAAAATTTCCTCGTGCGCACAGACCACAAATCGCTTACGTGGCCCCAGAACTTTAAAGATCCCTCGGGTCAACTAGCACGGTGGGAACAACTGCTCCAGGAATACGATTTTGAGAGTGAACACCGCGCCGAACGGAAGCACGGGAACGCGGATGCATTATCCTGGAGACCAATACGATATCATGGGGACTGCCCTTCCTGCGCCACACCAGTCATGACCATATCCCTACAGGCACCAGAGACCGACTGGATCAGGCTGCAATCCAATGACCTAGACCTGCGCCTGCTGTACGAAAGGCTGACAAATCAAGGTGATAGTCCCTCCTCCGACGAAATGGCTGGGTCGAGCTACTTCTCCCGTTGCTTATGGGCTATGTGGGCACACCTTGGAATAGTGAACGGAGTCCTTTTCTTCCAAAATGGACCGGAGTATATGCGGAGACTGGTAGTACCGCGGGCAGCAATCTACACGATTCTCACACGCCTTCATGAGGAGCTGGGTCACGCCGGCCAGAACAAATTGGACGATACAGCGCGACGCCGATTTTGGTGGACGCATATGCGACGGGATGTCGCTAACTTCTGCAATGCGTGCGTCGACTGTGGGCGATCGAAAAGTGCGCGACCCGCCATACGTGCCCCACTCCAGACGATGAAATCCAGCTTTCCCAACGAGATGGTGGGCGTGGATATCATCGGGCCACTCCCTCCAACCCGAGCAGGTAATCGATACATTCTCGTCATGGTGGACTATATCTCCAAATGGTACGAGGCAGTACCGGTCGCCAAACCCGACGCGTGGACCGTGGCGAAAGCCCTTTTTACCGAGTGGTTTTCCCGATGGGGCGTACCTTATCAACTTCACACGGACCAGGGGGCAGCGTTCGAAAGTACCTTGTTCCATGAAACCTGCAACATTCTGAACATCGAGAAGACACGAAATTCACCGTACCACCCACAGGGCAACGGACTCGTGGAAAGAACAAATCGAACACTGAAGGGACTTTTAAAGGCGTTCGTGCAGCGCGAGACGATAGACCAATGGGACACAGCCTTGCCCCATTGTTTTTTGGCTTACAGGGCCACAGTCCAGACTTCAACGGGCCAAACCCCTTACAGCATCATCACTGGTCGCGAACTTTGCTTGCCGTCCGACCCCAGGCTGCCGGTGACAGTCCCTGAGATGCTGTGTGTCAATCCGTTTGTTCGTCGCATGCAGACGAGGTAACGCAACTCACGGCGCGCGCTTCGATTTCCACGTGAGTCCAGGTTTCGTGTTTACATATATGTTTATTTAGACTATTTATTCATTATATACTCTTTGTACTTGCCTCTGTACGTGCTTAGACATTTGTTTACCCAATTGCAATAAACATTGCATCCCTAGATATAATACCTACCGGTTTCGTCATCATTGCCTAT